TTAATGGTACACTAGACTTATCCAAATATTTCAGCAAGTCTGTATTACAGTTTGTCAGCAAACTGGGTACAACCAAAGTGTATTTGAAATCATTTAATTAAGACAGATTCATTTTCACTTCATGCCACTACACAGCAAGACTTGCTTGTTCATATTTCCTTAAATTTATTCTGGAACTTGTCCAAGTTCAGCTTTAATGAGCAGCCTATCCTGCTAGTTACATTAGGATTTATTTTCCCCTAGAGAAGTGTTTGAATTGGTAGTTTTTTAACCTGTTCAGTTAAATGAACATATGTTCAGAACTGCATCTTAACTCTTGAGTGTAAAGATTTGAGAAGTAATTATTTCTATTGTTGTTACTCTTTAAAAGTGCAGCATAAATAGTGGTTTTAGACTCCAGCTATGTGCCATAACTGTTTGAACATGGTGATGAGTTTTGATATGAAGTCACAGTCAGTTGCTTAATACAAATTTAATGATACAGTATAGAAATACAGATCTGACCTGGTTTATTGAAAAAATTATTTGTACTTGTATTTTTACTTATTGCTTGAATCTATCTCTTGGGTCATAAAACTTGCTTAAATACAGCTCAATGCCTTATTAATGATGGATTTTATGTATTAACAGCTGCAGGTTGGTAGCCGAGTTATATTTTAAGATCTTTTAAATGCATTATTTGTGTTTCAAAACTATTAAAATAAATCCTGAATTATAATTGTACTTTCATCAGTAGCCAGGGTCAATTAAAATTTCCTTTAAGCAGCATTTGCTGCATACATGGACAATGCTTCCCCCACCTTGTTTTTTTTTCTTTAAAAAGGGATTTATTTTCAACTTCCCATTCCTACAAAGTTATCTGAATAGCACCAGAAGACTTTATTCCTATGGGGTTGTTGAAGTACAGTAAGTGTAGAATTTGCATATTGTTAAAAAAAAATTCATACACTATTATTACCCCTAAGGGACTATTTTATGTGGAACTTTTAAGCTTTGAATGTAGCATAGGTCAGTACAGTAGCTGTAATATGTATTCGTTGAATAGTCAAACTTTTAAAGCAAATTCATTTCCACTGCTATATTATGTGCTGTGTTTGTCACAGCTCTTCCCTTTCCCTCTGAAGTGCATTAATTTGTTAATGCAAGCACGCTATTTCAGATGGAATTATTGCAGAGTCATGTTTGTCCCAAATTTTGCTGGAAAATGTTTTCTACCTTCTTTCTTGTCTCCCAATTTTACGGTCTCTTGAAATATTCAGACACTTTTTTTCTGAAACAGTTCTAATTCTGCAAAATAGCATTCAGAAATAAGAGGTGAAAAATGGAAGGTACGTTGTCTAAAAGGCTAACAAAAGGGAAAATATCAGGAAAAATGTTACAGTGCACTTTAGCAATAAGTAATAAAGGATTACAGTACATGGCTAGAAAAGAAGGAATACCTGGAAAGATTCTGATATCACCATGTATTATATTTCTTTCCAGGTAGTGCAAGCAAAGCTTTGCTAGCATGCATAACTAGTGTTCCAGCTTCAGTTCTATGCAAAAGAAATGTGTTGTGCTGTCTGTTTAATCTGGGATTTGAAAATAAGTTTTTTTTCTATTGGGTGTATAGCATTTTGTATTTTCCTAAGTACAGAATTGCTTTACATAGTCCTTTACTTGTGCACACCTTTTCTGCTTAAATTGATAGATTGCCAATCTTGGACTTACACTCTAGGAAATTTTAGGAAAACAAGTTCAAATTGTAACTTGGAATGAGCATTAGAAAGGCCACAGTATTGTAGTCTCCACTTGTGCTTTTCATGGAACCCAGAGCTTTTCTTCAGATGACTATAGGGATATATATACATTTGCACAGAGGATTGTTTGTGTATCTGAGGAGCTGAAATGGGACGTGTTTTATCTAATTGTGTCTACAAGAGAATGATCTTCATGTGTCCTCTTGTGCATGTTATGTGGTAGAAATGGTCAAAATATGTTCCAGGCTCTTTGTTCCTTTTTGCTGTCTGGGTCGAAGTGCTTTTCTTAAATTTTTTGGGGATTTTTTGTAAAAAAATTTTTGTGTGTTTGAACAAACTGGAATAGGAAGAGCTGCAGGAGTTTTGTACAGCTATTTCTTACCCTTTTGGTTGTGTACTGTGCCATAGTTCGTAGCGGTGAGGCTGGCACACGGTCTGGTCTACAAAGTTCTTTACGTGGCTGTCAGTTCCCCCATACAGGGCACATGTAAGTTCTTTGTACCCAGCTCACTGTTTGGTATCGGTGACTCCTGTTAAACAAACTAACCCCATCCAAACCAAAGCTAGCAAACAAGGCTTAATACAAGATCTCTTCTACAAAGGCCTTTAATGAGTTTCGATTTTTCTAGTAACAGAGGCTATATTGATCCAAAATATGGTAGGTTCTAACTTGAAAGGCTGATAGTTTATTCAAACAGTAGACTGCTTTTTTTTTTCCTCAGGAGTGTGTTGGGGCATGGTGTGTGTTCATGTGAAAGAAATTTCTAGTACCAGACTTAAAGCTGAGTTCTCCCATATAATCATGAAATGTTCTCCCTTCATCCATGTTTTTTCTGTAAATGGCATTTGAAGCTGGCAGTATAAATGTGTCATTAGCTTCAAATGAGTTGCAGCTCATAGGCAGTCTTGTTGCTGGTTTCCTCCTCCTTCTCAACATTTTTGAGACAGGTAATCCTGATTCCAAGCTTTATGAGGTTGGAAAACCAAGGTCTAAACAATACTGATTACTATTACAGAAGGTTACAACATCTGGTTTTGTTTGTTCTTTGTCCTTCACCTGTATTTACATCCATTTTCTGAGAATCTTTCACAAGTATCTTCTTTTGTAGGAATCAGTTTTTCTTTTGTTTCCATGTTTTTATTTTTAGTGAGCAGCAGTGGAATTGAATATTGTGGATGGAGTTTATCTGACACTTTGGACTATGGTGTAGATATCCACGGCTGAGAATTGTCGTAATCTCCCTTTATAGGCAGTGGGCAGAAACAGTGACCTGTAGAAAGCATTTCATTTTATTCTCAGATCGACAGTGACTGGATCTCTGCTACGTGTGCTCTGTTATATATTTTTTTCCTTCCTTTTACCTTAAAAGGTTCTAGACCAGATTCTTACATGTGGATGTAGTATCTAACACTTTGAGTTTGATTCCTCTTGTTTCAGAGAAAATGTTTTTCACTTAGTTGTTTCCTGGTATTGACAAGGAATTAAGGGAGGAGCTCTGTTTGTGACTTAAGGAGAATGATTGTATGTCCAAGCCATGATATTACCTTTAGGTGTGCCATCATATCAATATAGTAGGTGACGAATGTCTTCAGATGTTTGGAATGCATATTTGCAAATCATGTTTCATATGTCACATCTGCAGCTTACAGGCCAAAAGTGTCAACAGGAGAATATTTTTCTATTCTGCTGCTTCATCTATAGCACAATGCTCATGGGTCTGAGAAGTGATGAAGTATTTTTGTCTTTACACTCATCTTGGTGAAGGACCACTCTCCCAATCAGATGCAGAATGTTCAAGGATGTCTGCTTCTTATTACCACAGCTTTGTGTCACTTCATGCTGCTAAAGGCTTTAGAGTTTGAGCATCAGGAATGGCCTGTTTCTGACTTCATAGAGGCTCCTGCAGAGTCTCTATTGCTAGCATTGTCTTGCCTATGTTAGGTCATAGAGCTGCATGCATTTTCTTCTGGATCCAGATAGGAGATGCACTGTCTTGTGACTGCTTCTGAGAGTTACTTGGAAGATTCTGATTTGCTGATCTACAGAACTACTCAGTGTCTGCATGTCTTAACATTTTCAGTCCCTGATCATTTTGGTAAAGACTGCTGTTTTTCCTGGGCCAAGGGATTTTATGAGCAGCTTTAGCAGCTTTCCCCCATTTAAGGTTCTGATTCCCAATGGAACATTAATGTACTATTGGTTTGGGTTTTTTAAGTGGTTTTAAGCATGTCTTTTAAATCTTCTAATGGATGAGATTCCCCAGAATGAGAATGAGTTAATACATACATGGAATCATAGAATGGTTAGGGTTGGATGGGACCTTAAAGCTTATCTAGTTCCAACCCCCCTGCCATGCAGGACATTAGAGAAAATAGGTCCTAAATAGCACAAGAAGTACATTTTAGTGATGGAGCAGGAGGTGATTTTGGCAAGAACAATAATGTTATAAACATGCTGCAGGAAATGGCTCTAAAATTAAGGAGTATTAAAGAACCTTTATAGTTTTTCTTGAATGTAGCAAATCAATCTGTTGCATTATTTCATGTAATAGTGTGTATATTAGGAAGAAAATTACTGACTTCGCTATAATTTTTGTGAAGCATTCTTGTTGATGATGGATTATAATGTCTCAAGAATTTATTTCTGAACAGAGTGTCCTTTCCTTTGCACTACCCAATGCCTGTCCCCTCCTATTTCTTCTCCCAATTAAAAGGTAAAAGGCATTGGAAAATTGTAGAATCATTTAATGAGCTCTATGTCAGTGAAATATGGAATATGGTATGGGCCTCTTTGTATTTTGGTATGTGAATATTGCCTGTATGGTGTTTGGGTCACTGGACATATCTTGTTTAGCAATTCACTCTAAACTTTGTAAGTAAAAAAAATTTGGAAAATTCAATTTTTGAACAGATGTTTTCTGTGTTTTCAATAACTGCACAGTTTTGAGTAGATCTGAGTTTGGTGGGAGCACATGGAATTGCTTTTGTTAAATATTTTAAAGCCAAGAGATAATTAGATTTAAATATATGATTTTTCCTGTCATGATTTGGAGGGAGATAGAAAGTTAAATCATGTAACAAGTCGTATTTAGGGTTCATTTCAGCAAAAGTAAAATCAACTCTTACAAGAAGAAATCTAATAGGCACACAGTTCCAACCTTAGAAACTAACATCTTAGTTTGATATTCTAAGTTTCAAAATTGTTATTTTTCTGCACCGAAGTAATGATTTTCCTTTGTTTTTCTGTAAATATTTTATGCAGGTCCAAGCGAGCTCACGTCCCACTAACAGAATGCATTTTCGAGCTTCCTAATTTGACAGTTCAAGCAACTAGAGCTCAAACCCTTCTGCTTCAAACTATTTATCAGAGCTGGTGTCATCCTGTTGGAAATGTCAGTTCTGTGGTGGTAAATGAAGCTTTGCTGAATGAGGTTTTCCAAACTTCAGGTAAATGTGTGATGCTTTTGGTTAAGTATTTATTGTGGTACAGAGCACTGGTAGTGAATGTGCATACAACTATATCCTTTAAATCCAGGTTTTTACTCATAGCAGTTAACAGACAGAATGTTTTTTGTGTGTATATGGGTATTTATAGCTTATGCTTAAAATCCAGGATGTAAGCTAAGCCACCCAGCTTCACTCCTTGGCACCAATTTCTGGATGCATTTAATTTTCTCATACAGGATAAATTTTCCATGCTTCCCTCATCTGAAACATCCACCCCTGCTACCTTATATGGTGCAATGTTGTAACTTAGGATCATTCAGAGGTGAAGCTGGATTGTTAAGGGTTTTATTAATCAACGGCATACATTGAATTTTTTGAAAGTGCTACACATGTTTCTCATCCAGTTTCATAAATAAATGTTGCTTAACTTCTGAAGCTGCTGAAGATATACAAGTCTCAGTGGTGATGGCATAAATAATGAAATTCGTTACCTATCATCCTTTTGCAAAACACCCATGGATTTTGGTAATAGATGGTGCATTTTGACCACTTTATAGAGGAAAGCAGAGTCTTCAAATAGATAAAGGTCATCCAGGAAATGAATTTTTTTAAAAAAATATTTTTTTATTTCTGTGCAGGCTACAATAATTTATAGCTGTTATTGTTTATCAGCTGTGAATAACTGAGATATTTTTTTTCATCTCCATCATTACCACTCTTGGAGAATGCATTTAGAATGATTCAGATGTAAAAAATCATGACTTGAAGCAGAATAATAGATTAGACTACAGGAAGTCTTTCAGTCCTGTTTTGCTCAGTCCTATTTTTCTTTTTCACTCCTGTGGTTTACTCAGAGTAAGTCTGTGTTGATCTACCTATTTTTGGGTAACCCTTGGAATCACTGTTTTAAGTGCTTAGTTTTTCGTTCTTTCACGAAAGTCACTTATTCTCTTAATTCCTCCATTGTGTGTGGGTCACCTCAGGATGAGGTTGTGAGGTTTTATTTTCAAGTCCTGGTACTTCTGAAGGTAACAGATTTTCAATACACATCTTGGAGAAATATGAAAACAGTCATTTGATCACTTCAGATGGTCTTAGGATTTAACAGTTTCAAACTAACCTGTTCCATCATTTAATGCTTCAGTACATCAGTGCATCAGTTAAATGAACTGTGATACAGCTCTGCTAACAATATCTCTGCAGTATAGAAATCTGGAGCACACATTTTGAGTATTCAAAATAAAGTAAATGAACAGTGTAGTACATTTGTTTTGGTCTTCTCTTGTTCATGGCTTTACGCTTGACCTGGTAAATTTTATACTTCTGTAGTTGTACTTCACATTAAGTAGATGAAGGTAGCTTTGCGTTCAAGGCTATGAAATGATTGCTGTCTAAATTATCTCCTAATTTTTGGCTTGGTTCATAGTGTAAACCAACTGTGTTTTGTTGGAATACTGTTGTGTAAAATCTAGTATCATGCCTTGTTGAAAGTAATCCTTGTACTCAGTGGGAGCTTTCACATACAGTAACAGGTATGCATGTAAGCTTCTGGGACAAACCCAATTCTATTTGCACAGGGAAGTTGCAATTTTAGCTTTTCTTTTGTCTTTTTATTTCTCCCCCTCCCTTTTTTTTCCAGTAAAGTATCTCTGAGGATAATGTGGTCCATAAGGAACTTGTCAGTAAACACTGATACTCTTTTACTATCATTCAGCTTAGTTTCCCAACATAAAGCCACCACTGATGAATGTTTCTTGGGAGTCCTTGATTTGAGTTCCTGCTTGCCATTGCATGCCCCTGTGCTCCTCAGAGGTTGTGCAGATTGGCCTTAGATGGCTCACGTGGTGGGCCTGGCAGTAGACTGGCAAGGTGTTTGTGCTCCCTCTCCTGCCATTATCTCTGAGAATCTTTGTGGGTGTACAAGTGAACTTTTATGTATAACCTAACATCTCATGGAAGTAACAGCTTTTTTGTCGATGATACTGTGTTTTCCATCTGAGCACAACGTGTTTTTAGCTACACACAGTAGTATTTCAAGAAAATAGCTTTCCATGCTCATGGTGTTGCGGATTGTTTCTTTGATCAATTTAGTACAAATAATGCAAGTATGAACACATTTAGTTTTAATTTCTTTTCGAGCTGTTTACTTTTGTTCCTTGTCTTTTTCTATTTTGATGAAGTTAGTGTTCCTGCTGCCAAAATTAACAATATGCTTAAAGATTCCCTTACCTCCACTTTATTTCTAAGAGAATCTCTTGAAATTAATTGCTTTCATTCTGCTGTTACACAGAATCATAAATGGTGTTTCATGAATACAGTTGCCCCAATTATCTTCTATTTTTGTTTGTTTTCAAACTTCTAAAAGCCCTCTTTTTAACTAATTAGAAATGTAGCAGGACAAATGGCTATGTATCTATCTACATTTTTATTCCCCCATTTAAAATAAGGCAATAAAATTGCATTATTCTTAAAAAAAAAAGAGGAGGAGGGGGGAAGAGGCTTATGTAGTTTGTCTTGATAGTTTTTTGGTGTACTGTTATCTACAGGTTTCCAGCAAATCTGCCTGCTACAGGCTGGATCACAGGATTTTACACATTCTTGATACACAATGCAACACCATGCTGTTTTTTTTTTTTTGTCCTCTGTGAATGAAATATGCCCTCCTATAGAAATGGTCTTCATCTGAAAAAAGTTAGTTACCCACCCAGATCTGTACTGCCCATTTTGAAACATACTGAAACTTGAAATTTTTCTTCTCTAGATAACTACTCACACATAGCCAGACTCAAATGTGTTTGCCATTTGTTTACATATGCAGGTGAGATAGATGTAGGCTATGTCTGTACTGTCACTCTTTGTGTGTGATTGAAGAGCATTGTTGGGCTGATCTCCTTAGGTCTTTATTGGGGCTTTGTGCCAGGTGCTTTTGAGAGTGATGTTCTTCCTTAACATATTGATTCAGTATTACTTGAACTCAAAACTGATACCACAAGTCTTTGTATCCTCTCAGAAAGAACCTTTTTGGCAGGTATTGTAGTCCTTAGTTGTATACTTTTTTCCAACACAGCCATCTCTTCCAGTTTTGAAACTGTATCACTGAAAGTGTGCTTACAATATGGGCCAAGATGTTCTGTAAGAAACAGCAAGGACAAGCAGGTAGAAAGAGTTAATGTAGAAAAGCAGTAAAAGTTAGGGAAGCCAAAATTTAGTGAGAAGACATGAGTTTCAGGAGGAGGTGAGAACCTGAGAGAAGACCATGCTGTGGAGAGGCTCACAAGGTAGAAGTGCTTCTTTGGGATCCTGTCTTTTGGATAACTGCTGAAAGACCTTCTGTGGGTCTAGTTTAAAAAGGGAGCTCTGCACAAACATATGAACAGAATTTATAGCTAGTGTCTGGGATTCTGTCCTACAGTTTGACCTGGAGTAGAAATGTTTTCTGCTCCAGAACTACTTTTGAAACTAAATTGGGCTGAAGTTGTTCTAGGGATTCAGAGCAAGCTCTCCAAGTTCTATCCTCTGCTAATTGCAAGCTGTCTAAAAAAAAGATTTTTCAAGTCTCAAAACCAAGTTGTGTGTGTTTGGTTTCTATCAAATACAAAGGAACTTAAAGGAAGTGCCTGTACTACTTAAAACTTGCATTTGTCGTACATGTTAGTAAGGTCTGTTAAGATCTTAAAACTTCCAGTAAAAAGATGTGCACTGTACTGTGACTAGCTGATTGATTTCAGAACTTGGGGAGGACAGATAAAATGAGTATATCAAGAAAGATGTATGGGTTTTGTACTATGTATTTTTCATAAAAATGTTTAAATATTGCATTGTTCTTAGACTGAGACTTTAAGTCTGCTAAGAGCAGGTTTTTAATTATAGCTGATATGGAATTTAATATGGGATTTTTTGAAAGCACTCAGCTCTCTTCATTGCAGTGTCACCTTTTGTAATCCATGGTTTTAAATGCCTACTTGGCAAAGGTTCTGGTCAAATGTGGACTGGTATTTTTAGGGTTCTGAGAAGCCAAGACAATTAAAAAACTTGAGATAATATAAACAATGAAATGTCTTAGTTGAATGAATAGGCTTTACCATTAAAGTACAAGATTGATGCATGCTGCCTAAAATAGTTGTACAAGAACAAAAAGAAAATTTAAAATAGATGGGAATACAAGTGACAAAATGTAACATAAGAAATGGATAAGGAAAACAGCTGCAAACAGCTTTTTGCTCTTTTTCATGGGTCAAGAAAAAGGCATTGCTAACTTTTTCATAATGCATTACATCTAAAATAGAAAAATAGAACAAAAGGAGTCTTCAATCCACATAGAACTCCTTGGAAATCTGTGTTTTGGTTTTATTTTATAATCCTTTTGGTATACAAGCACACCCATGTGTTACATGTCAGTTCAATAACATATTAGTTCATATGCTTGCACATGCTTCTGAAACATCCCAAGTTTGCATTTTGTTCACTGTAAATGTCATTATTAGAATTGTCATTATGCAGTTTTTTATAAACAAAAATAAGTGTATAAAATACCAAAATGTTAGAAAAAGGTTGCCAGTTAGGATATTTCAAAAGCTGACCATGATTAATCCTGGACAGTAATTTCACTGGGTATTTTTTCCATTATTTGTTAGTAAGTACCCGAAGCACTCAGTTTCTAACCATTTCAGCCTGCCAAGAAAATACATACACAGTCACACATGGCTTTAGTTTACTCTGGAAAACTGGAACTTGCTACCACTTTTTCCTTGTCCTATTCAGGTAGTTCATTATTTTGTTGACAGTTCGGTTCCATTAATCTGGTATTTTTGGGAAAATTGCTTGCAGACCTTACATTTCTCTATTGAAGGTGATCAAATAGGCATTTGAATCCCTCATGTAAATGATGTCTTAAAGTTAAAATAAAATCTACTTTCCAGAAAGTAACTGTAAAACTATTTTATGCAAGATTTCATGTGGGATACCTTAATGGTTGAATAATAAATTTTACCTCATAAAAA